CATGTACTATGCGGTTTAAATATATCATTTTGAACACCAACATGTGTACATTGATGATGTTAATGTCAAACAAACAATTCTTTACACCTTGCCTATCAAACAGAATATAATATATAACCATGTACATAAACCTCCACGTTTGATATATATTATACCATATGAACCTTTGGCCTTTCAGAAAAATTGACTAAATGATTGACTGACTGAAGGCTTGAAGATGAAATTATGTTCAAATATAATAAATCTTAGTATCCGTATCTAGTGCCACACTTTACTTAATACTCTTGATCTTGTGAACTTTGTCATTGTTCAAATTGTTTAAATTTTAGAATGAACAAAATATGTTTGCCTGTATATTGCAGTCTCCTTGACTACTGGTAAAGATATGGTAAATAGCTTGTTGTTGTTGACTTTTATAAATGTAAGAAACAATATAATACGAAAGTCTGACATATTCCTTTGGTGGTTATAAATGAAAATTTCATTGATAATACATGTGTGGAAGATATGGCTGGGCTGTGGAGAAGCAATAAGCATTACATATCAGTCTAGACAACATAATATTGAGGCCATTCAAAAAAAGAGTATAAAGCAGGTTCAGAAAATATGTCAATGAAAAGGCTATATTCCAGTTTTTGGTGTGAATACTTGTACTTAGACTGATACATTAAGCTCCTGTATTACCTGCTGGGGCTGTTCACTTCACAGATACAGTTTCATGTCGGACAAGTGTTTAGGACAGATACTTAGATCTGTTACTAAGCTTGTTAACAACACTTGATCACCTTGTGAACTACACCAGTAAACCAGTTTTCTATGGGTAGGGGAAATCCCTTCTGGGGCCTTGTTAATCAGTAAATTCCCTCAGCAGAGAAATTACTACTGGTTGAACACTGCTAAGCCAATCTCAATATTTAGAAGCTGAAGGCAGTTTGTTCTGTATCTAAAGAACAAGAAAAACATCTTTTCACGGAAGAAAAACATTGCTTATGCTCAGGCAGTGTTACAACTAATTATGTGCTGGTGGGGATTTGGAATGCACCCATGTCACTGTCCTGATTAGTAGGAGATTAGCTTCACCAGGGAAACAATGGAAATAATTACAGGAAGCATAGGATTTGCCTTTATCCACTCTAAACTGGTGTTTGTACAAGTGACAAACATTTTAATTTGTGTTATGACAATATTGTATTAGCCCAGACAGAGGCTGAAGCACTGCCACATGTTGTATTGTTCAACCAGACTACTGTTGTATAACCCTCATCCCAACAGCCAATCAGAGGACAGGGTTTAATCCAGTCAGCCCAGGTGGGGATATGGGCTATATATACAACTTGCCCCCCAGTGATGGTAAACTGCAGATATCTCTCTCTCATACTTTGGATTACTACATGTGATATATACAATAATCATGGTGAATAATCGTTCAGGTAAGGAAACCTTGGCTAAATTTGATTTATTGTTAGTTTTCTGTTATTTGTTACTGGAATGTATGTTTTCCAGGTTGAACTTAAGTGAAACCTATTACATTTAGGATGTAGTAACTATGTATTTTCTAAAATAAGTTCAAACCGATATATTTTTTATATATTTCAATCTTAGGCTGTCGTAAATTGGACATATTAACAAAAAGTGTAATTCGTTAAATTGGTTTTCGCAGAATGGACAAAAACGCATATCCTTAGGAATAGAGGAGAAGTGACCCCTGTTGCACATCAAATCATTTAACCCTAGCCTAAGTTTAATAAATGTGTCTCTAATTTTTCTCTCTGTAATAGTATGCAGGTAAACCTCTGATGTTAGACAATATATAAAGGTTTTAGACGTCGTAGCGTGTACTGTTATCTAGTGACGACCTCCAGTTTTGAGTAAACATATCAATTGCTACCTGCTTAAAAGAGCTAAGAAAACACATTGGAGATCACTTGGAGATTATATATTATTCATTTTGCTTCAAAAGGATAAATATTCAATCAACTTATTTAGTTGATTTTAAAGTCATTTCATTTTTTCTTTACTGTGTCTAGGGTGTTTAATATGGCAAATACAGTAATAATTTAATAATGTGCTGATACTTATAATGGTGATCATATCAGTGTCAACATTGAGGGGCGGTCGGGTAGCCTAGTGGTTAAAGTGTTTGCTTGTCACGTCGAAGACCAGGTTTGATTCCTGACATAGTTACAATGTGTGAAGCCCATTTCTGGTGTCCCCCGCTGTGATATTGCTGGAATATTGCTAAAACCGGCGTAAAAGCACACTCACTCACTCAGTGTCAAAATGGTCAACAAATTTAATATTGTGACATGTGATTCAAATTTAAAAAATATATATATTGTTCTGGAATAATGTTGATGTTAAGGTGATCTTGAATTTAACCAAGAGTATATAATATTATACTTAACCTATAATTAGAGTTCCAGATAAAGATTTAATTTGGTTTAAACATATTTCAACTGAATATTAAGATATGTAAACAAGACAATGCATATTTTGTTACCTCTCCCTATAGTAATCAATTAACAATAGATAGTCAAAGTGTATATATAGTAATTACACAAGATATTCCTTGGTGGTCAGTCCAACAGTGTCCGATTTTGATAGTCACTATGATGGGTTTATACACAATATTAATTACTACATTAAGTGGACAAGATACATATATTATAATGTTATATGTAAGTGTTCAGAGTATATATTAAGTTTATATCCACCATAATGTGTAATGAAAGTGTGGACAGATAACAAAATTTCTTCTAATTTGATCCTAATGACAACAAACAAAGGAGTGTAGCAGGTCTTAATAGTATTGCATGACCACAAGGACATCTTGGGATGTCAGTTATGAATCGGTTGAAGTTATGTGTGTTTAGGTCACTACATCCGAGTCTTAAGCGGCAGTGGATAATTTGACAGAATCTGGTTTCATAATTATCTTAAGATTGTATGCCATTTTATAACATTCCAAAATGAAAAACAGTTCATTTTAGCATTGTATAGGACCAAACCAAGGATATATTTTGTTTTCTGTAATTAAAGTTCACCATCATAAACATTCAAACATGATTTACATTTGAGCCTTACCTAAACATGGCAGATTTATAAAAGTATAGAACACAACAAAATGGATTATATTTCAATCATTATTTCAAGAGCTTGAGGAATACATAATTCATTTGCAACAGAAGAATAAGGATGCCAGTATTATTGTCTGTAAAGAGCGCCGCATGTAGAAGATCCCATAGCCTTGTCCACTCTTTTCCCAATATCTTTAAGTAAAGTGTACAGAGGTAAAAGAAAAGATTCAATTATTATGATTGTTTTGAAATGTCAAGAAAATGTGTAATAGGTAAGATACTGAAATTATCAACCTGACATTAATAGTTGGTGCAATGAAACAGTAGAAGTAAACATGTGTCCTGTCACACATGGATAAGTTACATATTTATGTATCCTGTACATTTGTGAAAAGAATGTCAGCACAATTGTCCACTTATTGTCAACTGGTGGAACTGGTAAAGGTGTATCTGACATATATCTGTCATTGCTGTGGCACATTGTAGAAACAAGCGGACAGAGTTTTCTTGCCATCCCAAATTACAATCCAATCTGTAACACATGTCAGGCATCTGACATGTTGTTCCAGCAATTACCTCATCAATTGACACTCACTGACAGCACTCCTCATTGTTTCCTCGTTAGCTAATTGAGCTTACTGGAATTGACAACTTCTCTGCATTGTTTTAATTAACTTGATCGTTAAGTTGTTAAAGCAGTAGTTGACTTGTTTGGTGGCAATGAGTGAACTCATTTCACCTGGCACATGTAATTAATTAAAGCTGTGGGAGGTTAGCATCAGATGCATCCTGAACCTTCACACAGTCAACAACACATCATGGGTGGGTACTTTACTCTGAAGCTGAAGTTGGTGTTTGGCATCATGGTTTGGCTTTCATAAAGTGACTATGTGGTGTTGGTGTAGTGTCAGCATGTGTCAGTACTTTTGGACATTTGAAATTAATATATTAGCGTTGTCCTATGTTAATGTTCATTAGTATCAATACATGGAGAACTCCACATTCAAATTTAGCCATTAAGTGTAAATGATGAGGGCTTTTGAGAGAAGTGTCCCCACAGGGATGTTGAAAAAAGTGTAAGTATATGTACTAAGATAGAAATAGGGAGCTGTTCTATCTGTTATGCCAGAGTGATTTACACAAGGTCACAGTTGATTGATTGTACCATTATTCAACTAAATTTGAGATCATCTGAGAAAATCATTGTAGGTGGAAATGATGCAGAAATAATGTTGTTGAGAAACCTGTTTCATCCATGTTGTAAAAAAACCTAAATCCCTCATAAACCAGTAGCCTGTATTTACAGACCTTTTACTGTTGTAAAACTACAAAGGACTTAAACCATCAACCATGTAGTGTTGGTAATTACAGACAGTCCCAGCCAGTATGTTATAATTGACACTTGAGGTAATTAAGCCTGTAGTTGTTATAGCTCACAATACCCCAGGTACACCTCTCATTGTATGTAGGTGTTAATCCAGTCACAGTATGGGGGAAATAACAGTTCTCAGATTGCGCTGTAAGGATAACAATGTCCTGTCTGTCAGGGTGTTAAAGCAGATATCAACACACTGCATGTACAACCTGTTATTACTGGACATCCTGTGGAGATGAAGTATTGTGCCATTGTCACTGGGCCTTTGTAGTTCTTGATATGTGTGTTTGTACAGGTGAGCTGTTGAGCTCTATTTGAAGGATTAGGATTTAAAGTGTTGCCTTTGGTCCAGGATTTGTACAAGGATTTCTAGTTCTGTATGTTCTGTGAAGTCACTCAACTGGGCAAAATGGACGTTTGTCTATGTGCATGTTCAGCAGATGTGTGTATGATTAGAAAATCACAAAATCAGTTATGGAGACTTTCATTTCAGAACCATTTTATGCTCTTAGTATTTTGACTTGACATTGTAATATGATTGTTTTCAGGTCCTTTCCGTGCTACACAAATATGGAACGAGATAATCTCTCATGTAAAGAGCAAAGTGGAGCTGAAGCGTCGTCGCTACAAGATGAGACACTATGACAACACATTCACCGGGACAGATGCTGTGGACGTTGTCCTTCACTATCTCCTGAGTGACAAGGAAACATTCTGTACGGACCTGTCTCGGGACAAGGCAGTCAAGGTATGGCATGCATGCTTGGTGGGAACATCACATTGATTCTAAGGGAAAATATGTGGGGTAGAATAAGGAGAGGAAACTTTACATCCAGAGCTACTCCCATTGAACCATGTTCTTGATTCAAAGACTATGCTGACCTCTGAAGCTACAGTAGATACAAATTTGAGTCATCACTTCAACAGGCAATGAACAGCAAATTTGACTTCTGCTAGTACACACCAACCCTTAACACTTCAAATCATAATGTTGTGAGGTGGATGAGAATTAAAAATCAAATAAAGCAATTCCCATATTTTTGTATATTGTCCTTCATCAACGTCAATTCATGGATATTTGCCATTGATGAACATACAACCTGTACAAGTCCGCTGAATTATTTACAGTTCTGTATGACCCTTTACTGATTCCAGTAATGTCCTCTGTTTCAGGTGTGCCAGATGTTAATCAACCAGAATGTTTTTGAGCCAGCCAGCTGCAGGTCCAGTGAAGGCAAAAAACTGTTTGAGGACAGTAACAGTAAATTATACAGATTTGTGGACTCTGACAAGGAGAACAAGGATGATAGCCCACTTGACGACAGTGAGGCATCTACAATGGATGACTCTTCAGACTTCAAATCTGGGAAAGATCTGAGGTTAGCTCATGTTGTCCATCCAAGGGTGGTCAGACCCAGATCTATATTTCAAATTGCAACAGACAGACTGTCCGACACCTTATTGTAATTATATAAAAATGTAGTGTACAGAATGTATTGTTTTGTTTTAGGGTGTTTTCTTGAAACACTATAGCTTCAACTTATGGAAAAAATGACTTGTACAAGATCTATTTCATGTTGTAACAACGAAAGCAGCCACACACATTGTCACATATATTTTCTGTGCTTATGTATATTTTGAAAATATGTATTTATCTACATTGCATTGAATATAAATAAACATCTAATGTTGTAATTTGTCATTTGTTGTACTACTATAATTCAAGCAAAGATGCTGTTGGGAAGTGTAGTCACATTAAGCAAGCTAGTAGTTCATGAGAACATGCACTCACTGTCTGCTTGATTTCAGAATCAACCCAGCATTTGAGCCTGACCTACTTGAGGATGATCTATTGTGTAACCCGCTAGCATTGCAGCAGTCGGCCTCTGTCATGCAGGAACTCATCAAACTAGGCAGCTCTATACGATGTAAAAGTGCAAGCTCTCTCAAGTCAATTGATCTCAAACGTACACGATCGTCAGACAGTCAGGAAATATCACCAGAAGGTAAATGAGTGATGTGTGTTTAATATAAAAAATGGTTCACAGTGTTTGCTTAATATAGATTTGGGTAAAATGTTTGTTGGCCATTTTTATTGCCTCAATTGAGAAAGTTAATTTAGGATTGCAGCGAAAAAGGAGACATCCGGGGAAAACTATTTGGAATGACTGAAAAGGACCTTCTACACAGGCTCCAGAGATACCATTTGATATGTACATGTACTGACATTATTTTATGAATCCTAGACCAATATAGTAAAACTGATCCTTCTCCCAACAGTGGTGGAGGAGACCTGGAAGGAGATAGCCCTGGCTGAGCTTCTGACAATAGTGGACATCATGTTCCTTGATGGTATCCTCAGTGAGGAGAAGGAAAACAAGCGCCAGCAGCGTCGTAACATCATCATCTCAAACGTTGTTGCCAAACACAGTGTAATGCCCTTCTTGGAGGGTTCCGACACTACTGACTGCGTCATGCAGGCAGCCTTTGACTGTATTGAATGTCTACCTAAGGGAATGGCCCTCTTAGCAGATGATACCCTCAAACAGGCAGGGACACAAACAAAACTGAAACTGTTTAAAATTATATCCAAGTATTACCAAGACCTGTCAGACCCTCTGCTTCCAGAGAGGTTTTTTGATCTGCACATGGCCATACTGAACCTGATACTGACTGGGAGGGAGGAGACTGGGCTGCTGGCCCTGAAGCTAGACGTAGTGCTGTTGCCATGGGCTGTTCGGGAGGAGCTGCAGAGGTTACTCAAGTTTATGTTGGCAATTGCCAAGGACAACACCTTCAGGATTGATGTCCAGGTAGGCTGGAAAATATGATATATGTTTCCCCAGTGGTATTGTTAGATGCCATGTTATAAATACTTTATGCTCATTCTGGTTAGTGGTTCATGTGACATTACTAGTTATTAGGAGAAAGCTTGAAGTAAATCCACATTTTCACTTGTCCAGCTACAGTCTAGTAGCAATACCAAGCTACCAGCAAAAGCCATTTGAAATAATTCAGTATATTGCTTTGTTTTTCCAGGAGACAAATGAAGTGATAGTTTTGAGAACATTCAGCGGCTGCATTTTCAAGCACAAGGTGTTGTCATCCAGTGTTGGAGCAGAGTTGGTGCAGTTCTTCCTCAACCACCTCTCTGATATCTTCATCGTACCCCGTTCCATTAGACAGAAGGTTGCCTTCCGACTATATCAGGTCAAAACAGGCATTATGGAAATAGTCAGTGGTGAGGATCTCAATATTTTCTATAGTTTTAAGGAAATCTACATGTAGAAAAAACACATCAAGTTTAAGGTAATAATTAAGTTCTCAAGACTACCATACATATTTGTAAAAGATGTATCAGCAGAAAAATGAAAAATTTACTTTTACCTTTTTCCAAGGAGAAAGTTGTCATTACTATCTCATTTCTAAGTGGGGGGCACAGGCTGCCCAGTCATCTAAGGCATGGTGATTCGCTGTGCAGAGTTGCATCCCTTGGGCACGCCAGAAACCTATGATTGTGGGTTCGAATCCCGGTTCGCCCCGATTTTGTTTCTAGGTTTGTCAGCACCATACCCATACTCGTGGGTTTCAACAAAGTGGTAAAGATCTGAGACCTCTATCACTTCGGGCTTTCCTCCCACATTAAGCTGATACGCTGTGATATAACTGGAATACTGTTGATAGCGTTGTTAAACCAAACTCACTCACTCATTTCTAAGTGAATTCTAAGTGTGGTTGTAGGATGGATTAGTGGATAAAATGTTAGATCACCAGATGAATTCAATGAGCCTCACACTGGAATATTGCAGGGATATATTGATATATGTGCTGTCAAAGCTTTCCCTAGCCAATTTAATGAGTGTTGATTATTTTGTTCCTCCAGACTCGACATTCTGTAGCCGAGTGACCCAAGAGGAATATCAGAAGCAGTCTGAAGATGGAACAAAGGAAGCCCTCATAGAAATGATGAACTCAGTGTTAGACGATACACAAGTCCCACTTAAAGAAAAGAAACAGAGATTAAAATGTTTTCAAAAGATATATCCAGCTCTTTACGAAAAGTACTTCCAGGGCCTCATTTGAACAAGGGCTGAATGATATACTGATGGTGCTATAGACAGATGTGTATAAATGTATTTAACTGATTACACTGTCAGAAATGTTTTCACTGAAACTGAATATCCAAGTCTCCAGGCAACGAAAAGTTGTCTTTGAATGAAGCATGACAAGAGATACAAGTCATACAAGTATCAACTTCATCAACTGAAGAAAATGTTTTTTCTGAATATGTACTTGAAAGACATGAACAGTGCAGAAGAGTTTAGAATATGAAACAAACAAAAGTATATTTTCTGTGAGTGTGCTGATGGCGTCAAGGACCAAGTGTTTCTTTACATCAACTGGTGTTATCAAAACATGATTTGTGAGATAATTAGAATATTTATTCATCAAAGGTTGTGTTTATGGTTGTGCATTCTGCAGTTATAGATTTGATTTCCTCTGAGTGTCGAGGGGAATGAAATGTGTGTAGATGTTAGGTTTCTTGTTTCTGAAAGTAACAAACTCAACAAGCTCATTTACTGCATCCTCTCTAATATTGTGCAATTCCATAGCTGAGTGCAATATCCAGCCCTTGCCAAATAGCAGCAAATATGTTACTTTTCAATTCTAATGACCTTCCTGCAGGGAGAGTCCACTAGCTTGAGTTGGTTTCGCCTAATGTTAAAAATATCTCTCTGAGGGTCTAGTGGTCCTTTCTTATAAATATCTTTCTTTCAGTACAATTAAATACAATACTGTGGGAAACGTACCTGTAATCAATGGACATTAGAGAGTCACACTGAAACTAAGGCACCTTACCCGATGAGCATATTTTTAATAAGAGAAGCACCAATTGTAGACATCAGTATTTAACAATCATGACAATTTTGATTTCTTGTTTTGGGCTGACATGTTCCTGGGTCCACTTGTACCCCTGCTTTCATTATGCATTTTAAGAGGACATATGCCTTTTGACTTATCGGAGTAGAAGAGCTTGACACCTGTAACTTAGTGTATTTCTAGTCCTGTCTCAGACCTCTACCTTCACTTCGTTATTTCCATAAGATTTGAACTATTACCTTTGCTCATTACAAAAATATTCCACGTTTGGGATTTTGCAAAGTTAGTATTGTTCACTGATGATCATAGTGCAATAGCATTTACCTTCATGGATCAGTGTGTTATTTCATAAACTTCTGAAACTGGACATTCATTGAGCCGTACAAAATGGAGGAGTCATACTTTGTTCTTAGTTTCATTTAGGTTTCGTTCCTATTGGGATTCTCATACAAACTTTAGCCTTCATTTCTTTTGAAAATAAGAATCAATGATTTGAAGTGCTCATTTTCATCAGTCATAAAACACATCTAGTATCAGGTGTTGTTGATCTCACTGTACTAATACTCTGTCTCAAATTGAATTTTTAGAGCTCAATGTCCATTTTTGCTGACTTGTTTCAATCATTTATTTTGATATGATCAGCATATAACTTATAGGTGTCTGTACATATAAACTATTATTATTAGGGCATTTTATAGAAAACTGAAAATTTGTAAAAAAAAATCCTTGTGTTTATTTGAAAGGGATCTCAAAACTGTTGAAAATGTGGAGAACTGAGTGTGATATTTTCATAATCAAAACAATGTGTGATAAAGTGTAGAAATTGTATATACAAGTCTTGATTTGTAGTATATCATGTACAGGATTGACTGACTGTTTCAGTACCAATAGTGCTATTGTATTGTTTTTGTAAATAAAAGTATATTAACCAAAGGTTTGTAATCCCATCAGATATATATACATAGACATAATAAATGAATAACTGTACACTGTTTCATGATTCTTTATTTACCCCAGGTCACGGGTGGCCCAGTCGTCTAAGGCGCCGAAATTCGTTAAGTCCCTTGGGCATGCCAGAAACCTATGATTGTGGGTTCGAATCCCGGCTTCGCCCCAATTATGTTTCTAGGTTTGTCAGCACCATACCCGTGCTCGTGGGTTTCACCGAAGTGGTAAACGTCTTAGACCTGCATATCTTCGGGCTTTCCTCCCACATTAAGCTGACACGTTGTGAAATAACTGGAATACTGTCTAAAGCGGCTTTAAACCCAACTCACTCACCCACTCACTTTATTTACCCTAGCTTTTTCATAATTGTTTCTCTTTATGCTCTGGATCAGCCGGTCGTAATGAATATTGTTAGCCTTGGTTTGTCAGCTGTGTGCATGGACTTCAAAGAGGTACACTTCTACAACCTTTGTCACTGATGCGTTCCTTCAGCTTGATGTTGGAGGGAAGCCAGAAGTGTTGCAGTATTGGACTTTTACCAGTTTGGAGAATGGTTTACAAGCCTGAAGTGACATCATCCACACTGGACAAACTAAGCAGCTTGAACCTTTACACGTTGTTTGTTTGTTGTTGAATGGTGCACTCAGCAATATTCCAGAAATATGACAGCAGTCAGAAATTTTTTCCGAATCTGAACAAGACAATCCAGTGATTGATATTATGAGCAATGTACCACGTGGTTTTTAGAATAGGTCACCAACATCCCATGCTGGTCGTAAGAGGCGCCCCAAATGGATCAGGTGGTCAGCTGCAGTGATTTGGTTGATGGCATGACGTCATACCCATCGTAATAAGTGATTCAAGTTTTAAGACATTCAAGAGCAGACTGCACATGGCTCTTGCATTGACGAAAAGCCAATGAATGGTTATTAACATTATATAAAACGTATTGCAATATCTCTACAAGCCATCTATATGCAATTTATTTTTGATAAAACCTAAAAATCAAAAGCGTTGTTGGACATGAGTTCCGAAAAAAATGTTGCAACAAACAATATTGATACATACTGCCGACTTTCAATATTTTCTTTGCAGAAACTATAAAGTATATTTTATGAGAACATTTAAATGATATATGGGGAAACGGCTTGCAGTTTGATGTATTAAGTATGGAGATATTCTTTAGCAAGTTTAGAAGCATTTACAGTGCTAGGTTTAGAGGAGGTGCTTAAAACTAGGTAACATGCTCTCTGGAATTCTTGAGTCCAACGTGGCTGCCAAGCCAAGTTACCTTTAACATGCAACAAATGTCAAACAAATTGCATCATGCAAAGTTTCAATAATTTCTTTGAAGAACCTTACAAGATATGATTTCTGATTCACCAGGACATCCCAGTGTTGTCAGACGTCTGATCAGCAGCATGAGGAGACGCCTCGAGAATGTCATCCATGAGAGGGGTGGATACTCCCGATTACAGCATCGCGGTTATTCCAAGGTTGACAAATATCATTTTTCACTGCATGATGTGACAGCTGTATACGACTGTATGCTTGTACTTGTCTAAAACAGACTCGGCCGAAGTTACAGGGTGGCAGTCGACCTAAGGGCCTTGGACTTCCGGTCACACTGTGTGGTCGATGCCTACCAGTGTCCGCAAAATAAGGGCCCTGTCTTCAGTAAGAATTGTCTTGTGTTTTATTTCCTATGGTCAGTTTGTGACCTTGTTACGCCAAAGTAACAAAACACCACTTCACAAGAAGGGGGCCAAGAGACTCCTCCTCCTGCCAACAACACAACACCTTCAGCATAAGCAGGGAATTATACAGCAACGCCAGGCGACGCTGACGACGACAACAGCATGAACTGCCAAGTATTTCACCTGAACGTTTTGATGGCAATAGCCATCAATACGCCGAGCAGTTCAACACAAAACTGAAACACTGACACAGCCTCTGTCGTCTTCGTATTTGTTTAAGAAACGGAGGTCAGCAGGGACCTGGTCTGGTACCATTTGCTGCCCAACTCAACCATGACAAACTTGGGATAACTTAAATCTAACTAAAGATGGATAAACATTGAAAACACAAATATCAGATATACAATTATAATTGATTCTTTTTATGCGAAAATTATTACTTGAATTTTCAAGCTAATCACATTCAATGGAAATTTGGGTCATACACTAAAAAACATATATAAACAAACTGCATCTTAAAGTCCTAAAATTCTAAAATGCAAGTATCATGGAAAATAGCAATAGATAGTTCTTACGTCATTATGTTGCCAGTATAATACGATGGACGAGAAAAAATGTGGAAACGTACACGTACCACTGTTGCGCTTAATTATTGTATTTGCAATCAACCCAAACGAATCTTAAAAGCGCTAACGAGGGGGCGTGGCTTAATAAGCACGACCGGCTAGGCATGCAAGCTGATTGGGTATTATCACCAATATATCCAGAATATACGCGATCATTTGATTATGGGGAGACCTGTGTTGTATATATAATACCGGTAAGGATTCCATGTATAATCAATCAATTTTCACAGCCGAATTAATAGGGATAGTAACAGCCCTGCACAGCGATCAAATAAATTGACACAAAAAAACAACCTAATTCTTTCAGACTCATTAAGTGGGCTCCATGCCATAAAAGACAAAAACGCAAAAAGCGCCCAAAACTAATACAACATATAATTAAAAGCGCCAACAATCTACGTAAACTAAGTAACAGCATAGAAATAGTTTGGATCCCTGTCCACATTTGAGTGTTTGTCAACAAACACGCAGACAAACCAGCCAAATCAGCACTAAAATTAGAAGAAGTAAGCATCAACCTACCAATATAAAAAACGAAATTACAAGTATCACAAAGGAGAAAATCTTCCAAAAGTGAGTGAGTTAGTGAGTATGGTTTTACGCCGCTTTTAGCAATATTCCAGCAATATCACGGCGGGGGACACCAGAAATGGACTTCACACATTGTACCCATGTCGGGAATCGAACCCGGGTCTTCGGCGTGACGAGCGAACGCTTTAACCACTAGGCTACCCGACCGCCCCCCTCTCTTCCAAAAGTGGCAAAATAGCTATCAGAAATCTGATTGTATTTGCAATCAACCCAAACGAATCTTAAAAGCGCTAACGAGGGGGCAGAGTAATAACTAAACTACAAACAGGCCACACTAAGTTCAACTCCCACCTACACCAAATTAAAAAAACACCAAAACGGTAAATGTCCCCACTGCAACTTAAAAGAAACGTCTGACCACGTATTACTATATTGCACACATTACCAGCAACACAGAACAACACTCCAATCTACACTAAATTGCAACAATCACATGACACTAGCAACGGTACTAAACCACCTAAATGACTTACAAACCTTTAAAGCACTAGGCATATATCTAATCAAAACAGGCCTACTTGGCCGCATTTAAAAATAAAAGTACAACAAACAAGCTGCCAATAAACCCTAAAATTCTAAACCTATAAAAACACAAACTCCTCCCAGTCACACACAACGTCTGTGCAATACTTCAAATAACTCCCCAATACGTACCCTCCCAGTCACACACAACGTCTGTGCAATACTTCAAATAACTCCCCAATACGTACCCTCCCAGTCACACACAACTTCTGTGCAATACTTCAAATAACTCCCCAATACGTACCCTCCCAGTCACACCCAACGTCTGTGCAATACTTCAAATAACTCCCCAATACGTACCCTCCCAGTCACACATAACGTCTGTGCAATACTTCAAATAACTCCCCAATACGTACCCTCCCAGTCACACACAACGTCTGTGCAATACTTCAAATAACTCCCCAATACGTACCCTCCCAGTCACACATAACGTCTGTGCAATACTTCAAATAACTCCCCAATACGTACCCTCCCAGTCACACCCAACGTCTGTGCAATACTTCAAATAACTCCCCAATACGTACCCTCCCAGTCACACATAACGTCTGTGCAATACTTCAAATAACTCCCCAATACGTACCCTCCCAGTCACACCCAACGTCTGTGCAATACTTCAAATAACTCCCCAATACGTACCCTCCCAGTCACACACAACGTCTGTGCAATACTTCAATAAACTCGTTATTATATACCCTCCCTTCCATTCTTAACTTCTGTGCTATACCTCAACTCTCCAGCTCCCGCCCCAATACACTCATCCCATTTGCATAACTTAATCTCTCTAACAAGTACTATCCCATCCACACTCATCTCATTTACACCATTTTCAACACCCCGGTAGAGGTGAATATTTGATAATGATATGGACAACTGTTCAACATAATCGCTTCAGTATTCCCACATCACCGCTGCTGTCAATCCCATGGTTGGTTATTTAACTTTCGAGAATTAAGTGTATCGGCAAAATTATTGTATAATGGCATATAATATATAGCGTACTTATATAATCAGCATTTTAATAACCTCTGATACATCATCTTTCAATGGTATACATGTATATTCTATTCAATTCATTCTAGCACTATAGAACAACCATTGTGAAACATTTGATCTAAAGCAGGTTAAGAATTTAACAATAGTTAGTGTACCACTATGTCTTCCCGATATGTAAACCTCTTGTCAACGAATCAGTGTTTTATCTGGCACCTATTTGACGTATGTGTTGTATTTGAAAGGTTTGTTAAACAAAAGCTAACAAATAAATTAAGATTATTTTATGTTTGATCTGTTTCATTCATTTAATTATTGCATGGTATTAAGACTTTGTGATCATATGTGAGTGAAAGAGCTAATGACATATCCTTGGGACAGCCGAGGGTTACAACAACTGCTTTTGGAAGTATTTGTGGTCGTATCGGAAGCACCCAGGAGAATCCCTGGAAATTGGTCAAACTATTAGTTTCTGTTATGCAGTAACAGTCACAGTCCAAATGCATTTGTAACTTGTGGAAACTTTCAGCGCACATTTTAGCCGGCTAAAAGGTATAAGCACGGACTTCTTTTTTTTCCGTTGACCCTTTGTCCCATTCTCCCCTTGTCCTTTCTTTGTCTGTA